TAATAACATTTACATTAAATATTACATATATTTCTCAAGCTATACTTTTTCTTTTTGCTAAGCATTTGTGAGATAATTTTTCACAGCAGATGGCGGCATTTAGCCAACTTTCATCTTGAAAAAGCCAAGCAGGATCAGATCGGGTTAATTCTCCGATGGGAACCACCAGAAACACCGACCACTGTAGACTAAATGTGAAGTAAAGGCTACAAGATGTCACTTCTATATTATTGCAAAGAAGACAAGACAGACACATCTATGTAGTCACCCTGAATCAAGTTTGACCCAAGGGAACATTTACTGCTTATATTTGGCAGTTCAAAATATGGAAATGAGAAAATAGTTTTTCATTGTTTCTTATTCCTGGCTGGAAATTCAGCTTACGTGTGATCACACCTGATTTAACCAAATTGAATATTCACTTACAAATGGACTTTTTCCAATGTTTTCCGTTTAAATTGCTATTTTATACATTGAATTATCTAGATTCTTTTCAATCTGGTGATAATTATATTTAGCCTAGCTAGCACATGGAATGGGTGGGGATTTCTATCCAGTTGGTTAGATCTTGTCCCAAATGTTTTTTCTGGCAGTGGTGATTCCAAACTGGAATAAGCTTATTTCAACAATCCATCTCAACACCAGAGCAACCACAAATATAGTCTTTTCCCGTTACTGGCACGTTGAAAATCCACGAGAGGCCAATTTTATATAAGATGGCAAATGTGAAAAAAAATATCCTCAAAAATCATTTTCAAAGTAATAGTGCAACTGTATAACATAGTTTATCGGAAAGAAACCTTATCTATCCTTTATCTGAAAGTAGGAAACTAATTGGACCGTACTATGTGTCAAAATAAGGTGGCACGGTGGCTCGGCGGTTAAGATGCTGGGCTTGTCAGCTGGAAAGCCAGCAGCCCAGGTTTGAGACCCAAGCGCCACGTGACGGGGTGAGCTCCTGTCTTTGCTCCAGCTCCTGGCAACCCAGCAGTTCAAAAACACGCAAGTTTGAGTAGATAAATAGGTACCACTTTGGTGGAAAGGTAACAGCGTTCCATGCTGTCATGCTAGCCACATGACCACAAAAATGTCTTCGGACAGTCCTGGCTCAATGGCCTTGAAACGGAGATAAGCACTGCCTGCTATAGTCAGCAATGACTAGTGGAGGGAAAACTGCAGGAACTCCTTTACACTTTTTGTGTGTGTCAAAATAAGAATAAAGAGCTAAACTAATACAGATTTTAATGTCCCAATCTATAAAATGGGAAAAGAAACTCATGGGTGAGAGGTCCTTAAAAGAAAAAAAAAACATGATTCCAATGAAAGAAGAAGAGGACAACAAAAGATCTATCTATTTTTTTAATATGCATGGATCTCTGACTGGAAAAAGATTGATCTTTTATCAGTAGTTTGGATAAACTTGCCTTTCTGTCTAGAACTAATCACTGGAATCCAAACAAAGAATAAATTAATAAATGTATTAATAAATAAACAATAAATTAAAATATAGATATACCGTAACTTGTAGTGCCATTGTTAATTCATTTTAGGAAGGTAAAAAAGATAATGATTGACTCTGGTCTATGCCACCGTACTATTGACTGACATTACTTAGAACCTGCACTTTTCTTTATGATTTATCTACACATAAAAAGCTCAAATCTTTGTGGACATTTTTTGTAGCATAGTCAGTACTAAGAGATGAGTTTGCTAACAAATATGTATGTAAAAAGCTTGAACTAACTGTGTGCAGCGGTTAGACAATAAAGTTTGAAGCAGTTTTTGTGCCATAACTTTTGCCCTAGGAGCACTTCACTAATTAAAGGAAGGAAGATTTCCACTGCTAATTTATATTTGATGACAAAGTTCTATGCCTTCATTTTATGTCCAAATCAGTTTATTATTTCCAGATTGAAATCTTCCTGAAAGCAGCACAAGCATGCTAAGAAGTAAGATGTGCCTTTGAAATTATCTTGTCATCCTTGGGACACATGACCTGGAGATGGGTGTCAGCTTTTCAAATGCTGGAATTAATAACCCCCTTTCTAAATAATCTTTCTGAATTTTATCTTATCGAACTGCGAGTCTGGGTTTTTCAAATGTCCCTTGTGTTACCAATAGCCGTCTTTCTTTTCAATATTTATATCACCCACTTTCTGTAAAAAAAAAAATGGAGTAGAATTGATCCACATATATTTTTCTACTAATGAAAACTGGTCCCTGCACCATTCTAAGGTAATTTGTTTTTTGACAATTCTTGTTGCCTTGCTGGTCCGAAGAGTTTACATCAATAAGAAAAAGCAAGCAGATAAATAAATACCTGGTTCCTTGAGAACACTGATATTTGTCTTTCCATTGGTGAGTTCTGAGTATGTGAATTTCATTACACAATCCTTCACCGGATAAGCACATAAGATTGAATTAGGGTCATCGGTTTCTGAAATAACATTAAAAATCTCAGTGGAATAAAGGGTGTTAATGCAATACATTGCAATATATTCAAACGCAAAACTCATGTTCCATGCTTGCTTTGTTGGCATGTGTTCAGTGCATCATAGTGTATTTAAAATACCTGCTATTTTGGCCTCTGCAATTGGAGGATATGCTAGGAGTCTCATGAGACTCTGGATTCCTTCAATATGAGAGCCTTCTTATTAGTAGTACATGTGGAGCATATTATGGAAGAGTTCACATGTTTAAAATTGGGCAAACTATTAACAGAGAGAGTGTGTTGGATGAGATGTCCAACCCAATTGCCTTACTTCATGACTAATTGTTTATAAATCTATGGATAGACATCACTCAGGGAATGCAGAGGAAACGTTGACGAGGTTATACTCTAAAACAATAATTATTATGAGGTCCTGAAAGAAGGCCAAGGAAACCTGATTTTTGGAGTAATTTCTTTGGAAGAGGAAGTTTCATTTCCTTCTACAAATCTGCATAAAGGAAGTAATTGTCTAGAAATAGGTTTAATTTTACAGCCTCTTTCTAGGCGCAGGGAGTGGGAAGTGAGGAGAATTACAATATTGGATGATATGTGTTACAGAAATATATGATGCAAAAATACTACAGAGGAATCAACAGACAACATTAAACTAATCTGTTAATTAAAGCTTTCCATGGGATCGGTTGAGACAGGCAAGTGATATGTTTTCAGGTAGGTCTACTTTTTTTTTTTTTTTTTTTACTTACA